AGACCTTGTTAAACAATGGGGTCCTTCCATTTTCCAGGACCTGAAGCACACATCCTGAAAACGCAGCCAGCACCAACCAGGGGGCCCAGCAGGTTAGCACAGGGCTTGGGGATCAGATCTGCCCCATTCCATTCCCAGCTCTCCCACTCTCCAGGTGGGTGACACTGGACAAGTCTACTAACTTCTGAGCCTCAGCTCCTTATCAGCATCATGAGAAAAACAGCAGCACCTCCTTGCTAAGATGTTGTGAAGATGGCAAGTTCCACACGGAAAGGGCTTAGCCACGTGCTGGGCACGTAGTAAGCTCTCAATAAATCCTAGCTAACCTTACAGTCCCTCAGGTTTCTCAGAGCCATAGCTAACCCTTAGCTTCCTTTTTTCCTTCTCTAAAGCATACCATGTTTTATTAAAAACAATGTGCTAGTTTCAAACTAATCTAAGACCAATTAACTCTAGCTTCCATTTATAGATTATACATTATTCTGAAACAAAGTATAGATTAGGCAGTAAACACCAATCGAGCGGCTCCAATCCCTACACTGAAATCCGGCCCAGGAGACCCAAAGTCCGTCCGACATACTGTGCCTCGTCGGATCAGAACATCAACTCCACGACCGCTTTACATTCACGCGAAACTTTCCACTTTCCCCTCGATGGTTATTTAACTTTGTAAACTCAGATCAGCTTCCCAAAGCCCAGCCGGACGCGACTGCTTGAACTAGGGGCTGCCTTAAACCCTGCACTCGGCCGACACAAAGTCAAAGTCACTTTTGCACAGTAGTGGGGCTACTTCTAAGGATTTCTGAGGGTGGCATGGGGCTAACAGCCACAACGACATTGTGGACTACGTGGCTCTCTCTCAAATTCAAGCTCAGGCCGGATGCCCTGGCCACAAGGAGCCATGTATTGAAACAGAACTTGAGAAAACAATGCTCAAACCTCTCAATTTTCAAATGAGGCAGGAGGGGTCCAGAGAGATGAAAGCCCGCCTAGAGATACACTCAGAGCAGCAGGTGGGCCTAAGACCTAAATCTTCGGGGAAGAGACCAAAGCTTTTTCCTTGGTTCCACGCTGCCATGCGGAGGAACGCGGGGCTCACAAACAGAGGTGGGACCTCAGCACAGGAGCGCACCCAACACCTGGATTCGGCTGAGAGTCTCAAGTCAAACCCCTGCGTGTTTTTCACAATCAGTGTCACTAATATTAACACGACCAAGAACACAGTGAAGTAGAACTGCGTTCAGTCCCGGTGCTGGGCTTTCAAAAGGATGCAGACAAACTAGCCATCATTCACAGGAAAGGCAAAGGGGCTGCAGGGCCCAGGAAGGACTAGGGGAACAGGAAGGCTGCATGGTCACCAGGCAGGAGCACAGGCTTCCTGAATCAGAGGCCCTGGGAGACAGATCTAGAACTAGGACCACAGGGTGGAAGGCACAGGCATATTTGGGGCTCATGCAAGCAAAGACTGTCTGGAAGTAAGAGGCAGAGTGACTGCTGCTGAATTTCCCATCGCCATCACAGACCGTGGAAGGCAGGTGCAAAGACCACGGCGTGAGGGCTTATCACAGACGGGGATGCTGGGCCAAGTGACCGGTAGGTCCCTTCTGTTTTGTCATTGCATCTCCCCCTGGAATGCCTGCTTAGCTGCGGCACATTTGTCTGTCTGTTTTAGTGTGTGTGTAGGTACACACAACCATCTACCCCCAACTAACTTCTGGCTTTTTCCTTAAACCAGGATGTTAAAAGATGCAGGTTTAAATTCTTTGAATGACATGGCTTTAGGTGTGCTTTTTTGGGCAGTGTGTGAGATATTATTTATACACACACACACCCACACCCACACCCACGCCCACACCCACACAGACTACTTTGCAATCAATTTCCACAGCTTTTTCCTCAAATAAGGATGTGAAAATTCAGGTTTAATTCTTTAAAAAAATCTGTTCATTTAGGTGTGATTTGCTTCCAGTTGTGTGAGAGAGAACAAACAAATACCCAAAGCAAAATCATCTTCTACAGCTTCCCCTGCTAACTAGGAACATAACGAATTCAGGTTCTTAATTGAACTCTCAGGCTTAGTTATTCCCTTTTTAATTACCTGGGTTTAGAAATATATTTATAAGTTACCTCTCTTTAATTATTTTACCTGTGTTTTTAATATATAAATTTCTTTTACATTTTTATTTGTAATTTTTCAAACATACAAAAAAGGAAAATGGTATAAATGTCTTCCCACATATCCATCACTAGATTTAACAATTACTAATATTTGCCTTAATTGCTTCCTTTATTGGGGGGGCTTAAGTATTTAAACATTTCAGTAGGCTTCCCTGACAAAATTAACAAATTTAATTAACTTACAATTCATGTAACTAATAATTTCTTAATATTATTTAATACCCAGTCCATATTCAAATTGGGCAGATATAGTTTTGTTTGATTTGATACCTGGTTTTCTGAAATTTACAAGTTAGAAATGAGGTTTAAAATTTTCTAAAGGCAGTAAAAAATCCTGCAACAGTTATTTAAAAAACCCTGCATCAGTTATTCAATGAAGTTCTTTTGAACTGTTAGACATGGCTTTTCCTCAAACAATGTTTATTATAAAACTTTTCCAACTTCCAGAAAAGTTGAAAAAATTGTACCCTTCTCATGTTCGCATCTAGCCATACTGGAGTGTGTGTGTGCACACAGCATGCACGTGCAGGAAGGTTCTGTAGAACCACTTGTAAGCAAACAGCTATAATTCATGCTTAAATACTGTAGCACAGATGTGGTTTTCATGGCATATGTTTACTGTATACAATTAAGATATGTAATTGTGTTTTTTTTTTTTAAATTCGAACCTAGGCAAACTCTTTTTGTTCCATGGTAAAATCCACTTTTTAGATGGTCTGAACTGACTACAGAGATAATCTGATTGCTTTTAATGATCTAAGAAAGATTTTAAATGGTCAGGTTAATATAAGTGTGTAATGTTTACATGGTACGACTTACACTGAAAATGTTTTTTTAATGTTCTGACTTAAACATATGTATTTTAAAATGGTTTGATTTAGAAGTCTATTTTCAAGAAATTGTTTGAATTAGCTAAATTTATTTGTACATTTTCTGACATACCTGTTTTTCCAAACTGTATAATTTAGCTATCCATTTTTAATTATTTGACTTAGCATATATATTTTATGCTGCCTAAATTAGAAAAACATTTGAAAAAGTGGTTTAATCAGAGATGCACTTTTAAAAAGCTGTCCGTCTCAGGCACAGGGCTTTTAAACTGTCTGACTTGCTGATTAAAAACAAAACAAACAAGTCTCATGCTACCCAAATAATCCAGGGTGAGTTTTGAACCCTAAATGATTAAAAATTTAAAAGCAAAGAATACATTTTCCAACAGTTAAAACGAACAGCCCTAGAAACACGATTCATGTTCTGTTGTCTTCCCCACGAGGCATCCTAAGATTCAGCCATTTAAGGAACATGCAGTCCTCACTTCTTGTTTAACAAAACTAAAGTTCCACTAAGGAATTTTATTCACTCAATTTCTACCCTCTATTCCTTGGCTTATTTCATAGTATTCTTCTCAAAATTAGCGCACTGGAAGTAGCCCGTTTCCACGCTAACAGACATCTCTCCACTGATTTCACTAACACACAGTTTCTTTGTTTATAAATGCAGAAACCTTCAATATCTTAAATAACTGAAAACCCAAAGAGACCCTGTCCCTGTTTTCCTTGCTTTTTAACCCACAGTTACTTGATTTTATTCCTAAAATTGTTCATACGACTTAAAATCTCTTTTCTGAAGGAGTAATACGGCCAAAGGCGTTTTTCCACTTGTCACTTAGAAAGACTATCTTTGCAGGGACATTGTTGATAATCATGATACACGACATAATTTTTCTGAAGCATTTAGATAAAGTCACAAAGGGAAAAAAAAAAAAAAAAAGGCAATCCAGTCTCCGAGAAGCAAAATGAGATTGCCAAAGCTGTATATTCCTAGTCTCCGACGACCTGGTCTTAGGATGAGTTTATCCCTTCATCCCCAAGTGCTTCTCATCCTTAGCCTACCTTCCCCCACAACTAGTCCCACAACTTCACCTTCCGAGAGACATTACAGAGCTAATCAGCACCGTCTCCTACAGATCATCCAGACCCACCCCTTATTTAACAGAGCAGAAAACTCAGGCCAGAAAAGAGAAAGCAGCCCCCCTCAAAACCAAAAAAAGACAGCATTCTTTCCAGAAGCTCCCTGAGACTCTACGCCCGAGCTAATGGTTCAGGTTAATTAAATAAAAAAACGTCCTATTTTGGGGAGTTAATTTTCACAGACACATCTTGTTTTGTTTTGTTTTTTTTTAAAAAAAAATAAAAGTTCGAACGGAGGGGAGAGCTTAATTTCCTGTCTGGGAAATGGAAAACCGAAGGGCCTAGCACCTTACTGTTTCACAAACATGAGCCCCCAGAACAAACAGTAAAGCAATTATTCATAGGGAGCCAGGCCGAGGGCTGCGAGGCCGTTTAGAGACAACGGTGGGAAAAACCCAACGCCTGCCTCATCTAGGGGACAAAGTTGTTCATTGGCAAAGGGCTGGGTCTTCGAAGCTGCAGCTCAGCCCCGAGCTCCGAGTGGGGCTCAGCATGGGGAGGGGGCTTCAAACCGAACCAAACCGAAAAGGCCTGAGCGCAGCGCGCGGCTTCCCAGGCTTCCAGACCTCGGGGCTAACACCTCTGTAAACGGGAGGCGGCCGGTCGCGCAGTGACGCCGGGGGTGGCGGCGCGTGGGGAGGGCTGCGGAAGTGGGGGGAGCGCCGGGCAGAGCGGGGCCGGGCCTAGGCTGGTTCTCCCCATCCAGGCTCCCGACGCCCCCGAGCCCTGGCATCTCCCTGGGATTCTCATCGCTCTTCTCTTCTTGTTTTACGCAGAGACGGACGGAGACAGACAGACAGACAGAGCCGCAGCGCGCTCGGGGCACGTGGAGGAGGCCGCCGGGAGACTCACCGCAGCGGCGCTACGTGAATGCAGAGGGCTGCAGGCGGTGTGACTACTCACTTGCTCGGCTAACAGCTGCCGGGTTTGGATGGAATTATTCCGCAACAACAAGAAAGCGTCGGTTAAACGCCTGGTGGCCATCGCACCCCCTTGGGGACCCCCCTGGCAGGGGCCCCCCACCCACTTGGAAGCTGGACGGATTCACTTTCTCGGGGCCTGGCCTGCACGGCCCACCCTTCCCCACAGCCTCTCCTGACCAGGCCGCACGCCTCAAGCCAAACGGCCGCTCTGCCTGGGCCGAGGCTGCGCCCAGGCGCGAAGACCCCTCCCCAAATAACCACCTAGGCTTTCCAATTGTCTAAGTCCCCCTACCCAAGACCTGACTTCGATCTCTAAGCACTTACATCCCCCCAATCCTTGCCTAGCGAGCCAGCGTCCCAGAACCCCCACCCCAATCCAACTCTGGATCTACAAGCGTTGAACTCGCCAATCCGGCTCTGAAGGGGAAACCCTGAAGCCCCCTACTCCCCTTAGTCTCTGAGACCCCCGAGGGTCTTCGCCCCCTCCTCCTAACTTGGCTCCGAGGCGTCTAGGCCGCGCCCTCTGGCCTGGCCCTGACTCAGTTTCCCTCCAGAGGCCTGGCCTAGGCCCCCCTCTAGGGCCCGCCGAGCCACGCCTGAGCCCTGCACTGCCAGCGCCTGCTGCCCCCTTCCTGGCCTTGTCTGGGCCTGCTAGGGCCCGGGCTCGACCTCCTGACCCCTTCCCCCTTGCTGGGCGGCCTGCTCCTCCACTGCCAGCAGGCTGCCGGCCTCCAGGAGGGCAACAGGCCAGCCTCCAGGCCTCCTCACTCCTCTTCTCCGGCTCCCTCCATCCCCGGATCTGACTCCGGTTCGGCCCCGGGCCGTTTCCGTGCTGTGGTCCCGGGTTCTGGCTTCCCCCCGGCCCTCTTCCTGTCCGTCTCTCGCGAGTGCCCCCCTGCGACGCTTGTTAGGCTTGCTTGCAAAGTTCCGGGCGCGGGAGCTCCCTGCCCGCCCTGCCCGCCCTGCCCGCCCTGCCCCAGGGCGCGGGAGCGCTCCGCCCTCTCCCGGGATGCTCGGGGGATGCCCCGTTTCCCTCTTCCCAACTGGGGCCCAGCGACGCGGGTGGGCAGACAGACAGTCCCGAGCCTCGGGCGCGTGGTCTCCACGCTGTCAACGCGTGCCCGAGGCTTTGGCGCCTTCAGTTAGAGTGGAAGTAGCGCGGCAGGCAAATGGGGGCTCGAGCGGGGCGGGAGCCGGCCGCGCAGGCGGGCTGGGAGCGAGAAAGTTGGAGCCGATCGCCTCTGGAGGCCGAGCACGCGCCACTGCAGGCGCTCGCTCGCTCGCTTCTTTTCTCCTCTGAAAAAAGGCTTTCTCGAAAAACAACAAGGAAAAAAAATAAAAAAGCGAAAAGCAGCTCGAGGCCCACTGGGGCCCGGGCCTCCGCGCGCCGCCCCCGCCGGGGGGTCGCCTGGCGCCCCGGCCGCAGCTTTCTATAGGGGGCACTGCAGGGTTGTGGAATCTCAAGTGGGAAAGTTCCCCGAAAACTTCGACACCCCCAAAAATAAACTTTTTCTCCCGAGTGGGTCCGCGCACGCCGGCGAGCGGGGGCTGGGACTGGAGCCCCCGTGCCGCTTCCCCCGCAGCTCCCCGCCCCCCGGCTTCCCCTGGCCCTGTTTCCGGGGAACCGGCCGGGCGCCCCGGAGACGGCG